ACTTGCATCTATGTGTTTGGAAAACCAGGCTCTGACTCTTTCTTTTGCTTTCTTTTTTTTCCCTTTTTTTACTGTTACATTGGCTCTTGAGAGCACTCTTCAGTGTAATTGTTAAGAAGCGTGGTAAATACAGGCCCAGGCAGGCTCCAGGTTACAGTCTGCTTTTGCTGACCTCCTCCCTCTCTTACTGATTTGACACTTGTTCTTAACTCCAAAAAGACTAAATGTATGTATTTCACAAGAGCACTGAGCCTTGATATTTCTAATCCTATTCCCTCATCTGAAAAACATAGCAGATAGCAGATAGTCTTACAAACTCTCCTTGAACACCTCACCAAAACTTTAAATTTAAGATAAAAGAAAGAAATAAGCTTTTTTAACAAAAAAGAAAAAGTATTTACAATCCAATGTAGCACCTCCACCCTATATAAAACACTGCTGAGGAAGTAGACAGGTCGGCAGGAGCACTTGCAAAAGAAGGTGGCCTTGACACAAGTGAAACAGGCAAAAATGAACATGGAAAATGAAAAAAAGATCACTTGATATTGACGAAAGGTGGGGCAGACACTCCTATTACCAATAGACCAGTGTCTGGTCCTTCTTGGCCTCACTTGAGTGGAACCTTCCACAGGCTACCATAGGATGAGCTGGACAAATACAAAGCTTTCAAGGCATACAGAACGACAAACAAACATTTATATAAGGTAACTCTGTTACTGACTATCACAATTTACCTAAAGGCACACATGCATAACCATGGGGGTACCAGCTTAGTTTAACAGAATGTCTTCTACCACAGAACAGTTTTAACCTTCCTCCCTTAACTTGACAGTGTCTGGTCACTTTCTACTTTTAAAATCTCCCGCAATGCGTCGCACACATAACAAGGCATCAAAACATCACACCTGTGCTGCCCATGATCCCGTCCTGCTGGCTGTCCCTTCTTTATAGACCTGGTTTTGGTGCCATTACGCTCCCCGCTTAGAGGCAAGACAACTCTGTCACCCCATTCCACAATCATACCTTCTATACAGAATAGCAAGGCAGAATAAAGGCGCAATATCCCACCCATAAACAGGCAGCGTAAAAAGGGCTACCTATTTTCTATTTTTGGAGCTGGAGTATGTCATTAGTGCTGTTGATACTGTTTGGTTATTCACTGCACCACACTCTGGAAACTAAGAGCGTAGTCTGGGCACAGAAGGAGCAGCAGAACATCAGGGGCAGTGAAACTGATCTGCTGGTTCTGCTGGTTCTGCTGGTTCTGCTGGTTCCCTGTGACATCAGCTACCACCACACATAGATTCTGTTTCTGTGGGAAACACTGCTACTATAAATACAAACTACTCAACTTAAACATGTTGTTATTTGTGTAACATGACAAATACATTAATACACTAACCCAATCACTGGACTGTAAGTAATGATTCAACACACAAACCACTGGTAATGTTGGGAAGCAGGTAGTAGTAAAAAGGAAGAGGAACGATCTCTTCAAACTTCCACTCCCCTAAACATACTGAGGCCACTTCACTACAGCATCATCACGGCTGTATTTTTATTTATGAGGCTATCTAAGTCACTGAGATATTTAATAGAGCTGAAACAAATTAATAATCAACTCAAAAGATATCAGCAACTTTTTTGATGATTGATCAATTATTCAAATAGTTTTTAAAAAAAAGATTAAAATTCACTGGTTCAGTGTTTTGAAATGTGTGTATCTGCCACTTTTCTTTGCCTTTAGATTTTAGACACATTAACAATCTATTTGAAGATGTCACTTTGGGGTTTTGGTTTATTGTGATGGCCACTCTTCACATTTTTTGACATATGGACTAAGTGATTCATTGATATAAAAAAATATCAGATCAAAAAGGGTCCTTTCATTAGTTGCAGCCATAATATTTAATATTTCATCTTATATATGTGTGTGTATGTAAGTGTTACTACTTCACTCATTCTGTTGAGTATTATTTGACTGTTTTACGGTCGGTGAGGAACTGTTCCACAGTTGCTTAACATGTACATTAAACAGAAACTCAGCTCTATGATACAGTCATTCTGAAACTGAGTATTGAAACTAAAACTGAACACAACAGTTCCAACTCAATGGCTCTAAGCAAATTGTGTATGCCTCTCAGTACTGAGCACCTGCATGTGTGTTTGTGTACATGTATATGAGTGTGCCTGTCCTTGGAGCAAAAGCTGTACACCCGTAGAGTAAATAGTGAGGACTTTGTGATACGTGGCATGAACTCAATGCTTTCACTATGTTATCTGGACATTTTTTCTGTATTTTTGTGTCAGCTCTCAGTTTCAGTCTGTGTCATAAAACACACACAGTCTGGTAGCTCCTGCATGTGTATGCTGGTGGAACATTTCACCCTACATGCGTAAAACTCCACTCGACCTTATAGAACAAATTAATTGGACAGTCAAACATGTGTGGCACACCATGTTTGTCACCAAGTTGCTGGCCAAGTGCAAAGACACATTTACACACACACACACACACACACACACACACAGAAAACAGACCATTCACATGTCCAAATGTTAACAACAAAGTCATATGCATATTTATTACAGGATTTCTTGTGCACTAGTATCTATTGCGACAAACAATTATTTTCATAATCATTTAATCTGCTGATTTTTTTCATGAGTTAAATAATTTGGTCTATCAAATGTCAAAATACAGTTGGAAAAATGCTAATCATAACTTTACAGAGCCCAGTGTGACGCCTTCAAATGTCTTGATCAAAAGTCCAAAACCCAGAGGTATTCCATTTAGTATTTTATTTGACAAACAGAAGCAGCAGATCCTGCCATTAGCTTGAAGAATGTGAAGCACTGATTCACTATTTTTGCCAAAAAGATTAATCTATTATCAAAATAGAGGCTGATTATTTTTCTGTTGATCAACCTGAGCCCTATTCACATGGGACAAGTATTACCAGGGGACCTTGTGTCATTTAGAAATGCGAATGGATGCTCAGCTGTGTAGCAAGATGAGCCTCCTGCACCCAAAATGCTATCAAAACCTTGGTTTATAATTGCAATGCAGCCTTCATAGTTCACAGTTCTTGACAGGGGATGAGGCAGGAACGGGGCCCGGAGAAAAGGAACAAAAAAAACTAAATACCACCCCCCATCACAGAGATGCTGATTCGCACAGAACTAATATTATTACATGACCTCCATGTTTGGCGATACATGGTTGATAACTTGCGGGGCAATTTCTAGTTCACAAGTACGAACGTGGCAGATTCACACGGGAATCACAGGATCACAGATGACCTTTGCAATTACTACAGATTACTAAACATCCTCAGGTAATGGCAGTCCCATGTAAATAGGACTTAATTGATTAAGTGCCTATACTTTTAGCTCTAATGGTATCCTGGTTTTAATATCAGTGTGTGATGTTCACACTGAGAAAACTGGTTATTCAGCTCCTTACATGACTCTAGCAGTATTAGTACAATAGATTTTGCAGTGTATTGTGTGGATTCAGATGTGTCTTTGATTTCTTAGCAGCTGCTCTCTGTCATTTCTGTATCACCTACAATGAGAATAAAATGTATTTTCTGCACTACCAGATCATGATTATATCATTAATCATCATACTTTTGTTTTAAGGAACTGCTGACATAACACCTGAACACATAATATACAGCCATTAGAAACTTGAGAGGGGTGTTTACATGCTGTAGTATCACAGTTTCTGTTGCAGTACTCCAGGTAAGATAATAGGGTTTCTCAAACCAGGATTATCCAGGATTCTTTAAAGTATAAGATAGTGACATAATTTGTTTTATTTTATGTTTTCCAAAATCTACCAACCAGTCAGAAGATTACCGTTATTTTTGGCTGGTGAGTGAAGCAAATCTAGCAGCCACTTGAATATTATACCAGCATTTGGCTGGTGGCTGGTGCTAATATCCAACCTTGCTTTGCTGTAATGCAGCCCTTGCAACCAGGAAAAGACAAAACTCAAGATATTACGATATCCGTAATCAATGATAATATTTAGTCGCTTATCAGGATAGCAATCAAGTATTGATATATAGCCCAGCCCTAATAGGTGCCAATGTGTTGTGTTTATGACATTAATAAAGGTTGAGAGGTTGAGAGGTTGAGATTTGAGATAGCCCACTGCTGTGAAACAATGTCCAAGTACTCACATAACAGCATAAAACCAAAAGTAGTTACTTTTATCGTATAAAGTCTGATCTTTAGGCCAAATCTTCCACATGCCACATCCTTGCAAAGTCACAACAGTGTTTTTGCCATGCTGTATGCATTACCTTACCAAGGGCCAACAGTGGCTTCATATTTGTTGATGTAATAATCAAGAAACAGGATGTTTCTGTGAATCATGGAGTTTTCATTCTGCCTGTGACTCATTTGTTGCGAGGCAAATATCCCACCTGCTGTAGATCTCCCTATAAACATCCTTCCAAATCACTACAATCACGCCACTGACCCCACCTGGGTCATCTTCTGTGTACAAAACCCTGGCTTCTATTGTGTTTCAATACAACCCAGTGAAACAATGTTTATAAATGATCACGACTAGCTTCAAATGCAGACGTGTCCTACACTAAGAGTAACGTTACACAATTGAGCACCACGTACTCTGTCAGCCCAGGAAGAAAGCTAACGTTATGCAAATACAGTGCAATTCATAGAGAAGCTGAATGAATCTGATTTTGTTCTTATTACTAACAGTGCAAAAACAAAGTGTCTCCATATGGAGTTCACACTTGCACAAAACGGCGAACACAAACACTGAGAAAGACTCCTTATATTTATTATTCGGCTCCTATCATTATAGTGAATTATTCTGACGGAGTTTGTTCACAATTAGCTAGTTATTGTACGTTAATTAAGAAATGTCAGCAGTGAATTGGAGGATTTAAACTGTGTCGGTGATATTAGCAAACTCGCTAACAGCTGCAGAACAGAGAAGCAACAAAATGAAGTGAGCTTACCTGGACTCTTGAGGTTATATTTATTCTCCATACTGACAGACGCTGAGCACTCTGTTTTAGAGATGAAGTGTTGTTGAGTTTCTCTTGCTAACTCGCAAGCTAGCTCCCAGCTATCTACTTAACGCTAGCTACACTTAGCAGCCCGGCTAGCTGAGCGGTCAACAAATACGAGCAGGACAGCTGAAACCGTGGGTCGTCCACTCTCCCCGGTGCTCTCGTGTGTAGGTAAGATGGAAGATGTTTGAATCCAGCCGTCACACGAATACTGAAGAGTTGTTTCTCAAGTTATCCGCTGTTTCGGTTTCGAAACTGTATGTTAAATGTTATCCGCGTGACGTCATTTGTGAAACGTAAACAGGAAGTGGATGGCTACTGGCCTCCCATTGGCTGGATTCCTTCTTCCTCTGTGGACACGTGAGGCAGCGCAGGCGTGTTATTGCAATAAACTTTATTTTTACCGGTGTAACTTGGCATGTCAGTTTCTCTATGACAGCAAATGAACCCACAGATTTGAATGTTGTAAGAAACTAAATGCATGAATATAAAATATAATCACTGCTAAATACTTAATGTTGAAAACTAAATTTAGAGCACTGACATTATTTACTTTGAAAACCATCTAGACTATGTGTCAGTTTTAGTAAAATCATTTTACAGTTCACAAATTCAGATTCAGATCAGTTCAAGAACCCGATATTTAAAACCATATGTTTCATTATAGGCTAAAGAAATATTGTATGAAACAGAGGTGGGGCCAGGTCCCAGTTTTGCAAGTCACAAGTAAATCTCTAGTGTTTGCACTGAAGTCCCGAGTCTAATCCCAAGTCAAGACTGACAAGTTCCAAGTCTAGTCCCAAGTAATAAACTTTTATTTTTGAGTATATCTTGCAGTACTTGACTCCCAGCAGGCCTCTACTGAATGATGTGATTCTGTGTTGTTAGCTGTTTTACCTTTTAATGTCTATACTAATGAGATTATCTTATATATGGTTTTATTTGCATGTTATTTGGACCCAGATATTTTATTTGTTTGTGTCAATAATATAACTCAAATGAATTAGCCGTTCAACAACAGAGTAATAATATATTAATCAAAATCATGAATGCTTTTTAGACTTTGTTTTTATGTGTTCAAACAAGTTTGTTAAAACAGGTGTGACTGTTCTTAAAAAATTAACATTAACCACTTACTAATTTACTGACTCGTCTTCATCCCCTGTGGGACATAAGACTGCAATGAGATCTCTTCATTGCATTTTGTCCTTGGCAACATGCTGCCTCTCTCCCTATCACAGCTGCATCTTGATCAGTAGACACACCAGCTAGCAGGGCTGTTTCTAGCTTTTTGGGGGCCTTGTTACTGTGCCTTGTTACTGTGTCCAAGTGATTGTTTCACTGTGATTGAATGTGTCTGACTCTCTGTGCTGCTCTTGCCCAGGTCGTCATTGTAAATGAGAAACTGTTCTCAACTGACTCACCTGGTTAAATAAAGGTAAAATAAATAAAATAAAATAAATTGTGTAAAAAATATGCAAAAAGGAGTAAATGCTACTTATTAACTAGAAGAAAAAAGATTTTAATTTAACTTAGCTGCATTGTTAACATCAAATTCAAAGCAAGAGCTGTTGCTTGTCCTTGTCAAGAAAATATACCCGTCTGCTGGGTAGCACAAAGCTGCCCTGAGTCACCGGCCCCCTCAATAGATATTTGCCACCTGGCTTAACAACTTTACTGGGGGACACCCTGGCCACATCTGGCCATGCTTTTTATACCAAAATCTAAAAAGACAGCAGTTACATGATGAAGTACTTTCTGTGCCCCTTGACAAACAGTTACCGTATGAAGCGTGTGCATATGCTCATCTGGTGGGAGGGGCTTAGGGCAAAGAGGGAAGAGCTGCAGGAGGGTTTTTTTTTCTGCTTATACCTTGGCTGTCATTCATGAAATTAAAAACCCTGTCTGTCAATGTATCATCAAACTTCCCAGCATGCATTGTGTGTAGCTTACATGGTTTTTCTCTAAAATCATAACGTATCCATGTATCTCCAAGGTTACTGTTCTCAAACCTCAAACCAGCTCTCTGTATGGATTATGTTTAAATTCTAAATATACATGTCATGTCTCCAGATCACGAGCAGCTGAAATGGCAGAGTTGGTGCTATATTCTGCACACATTTTCTTTTTGTCCATAAAAAATGTGTATTCCTGAGCACCAAGAAAAGCTGGTATACAACCAGGTGTCATCAGCTGAAGAGAGAAAAAAATAAAATATTCTATGCCCCAACTATTGTTTCACGTTCCCTGCGTGTTATTTTTACTGAGTCAAGTGCCGACAGTCACGGTTGCTCTGCTTCATGTGACTTTGACAAAGCTTTGACGTCTCCCAGGTTGTTTTTTCAACCGCTCCACCATGAGACACTGCTGACACTTTTCTCCATCACTGTCAATGCCATCAGAGGTAAAAACTCATATATGACTTTTCCCTTTATTGATCCATCTTTACGTTTAGACCTAACTGCCATCATCCTGTCCTCCTCTTCCTGCCTTCAAATGTCCCACGAATTAGAATTTAATACAAAAAATAACTGTCTCTTTCTCACTTTCTTTTGCCCCTTAACATTAATGCAAAAGTTATTCAAAGGCTGAAATGTCGAGTAAATGTCAGTTTCAGGGATGAAGCAATACACAGAAATCTGGGACTCACAGAGGCAGGTTATTTTACGGAGATTTCACAGAGATTTTCAGATGCTTTGAAAGCTTTTTGGAGGTTAATGGGGGGTTACCTTGATCTTGATCTGTTCATGACAGAAGCTAATTCCACAGGATTCCTCCAGGCAGGACCAAATACACAGGTATAAAATTAGTATCTTGTATCTTACAAATGAAATACTGTGGTCAGACTGAATGCAAAGCCAATTTTGCAATTTTAGATGTAATTTTGGGTGTAGTTTCCTACTGTTCCCCACTATTTTCTCATTAGATTGTACGTAACGTACTTGAACGAGGTTTTTTATTTGGCAAATATTCAAAGGCCTGATAATATCTGTAGCTCTTTGAATGCATTAAATAATGGTAGTAAAACTGCTATCATTTCTATGAATAAGAATGAACTTTCACACTAAATGCATTTAAGTCAATCTAATTTTAAGTTGGGTCCCATTAGGGGTGCCAAGATAAATCTCAGGGGTTGTTATGTTCAGGGGTTCACAACGTCTTTCAACAATTTGAGTATTACAACAAGATGCACAGCAGAACAAGGGCCCATTCATGTGCAATATTAGACATGAGAGACGGAGACAGATGGAACCTTCTGTCCAGACTCTCACCTTCATTTTGTCCATCTTTGTGCACATTTTCTGAAAGCTTATAGATACGGACAAACAGAGCAGCAGCACTTGACAGCGTGGAGGCAGTGTAGCATAGTTCAGGCGAGATACGACTGTATGACACAAAAATTTAAATCATGGTGCGACAGATGTGCAGAGAATAGCCAGACTTAACGTGATTTCATCCCCAGTCGTCGGTTTTTGATGCTTGGGCAGAGGCTCCAGGCTTCACTATTGCTTTTTGTGTGGTGTCTTGATGCAGAAGTGTTGGTGACAAAAGGGTCAGCATTTAGGTTTAGGAAACAAATCTACAGGATTAGGGAAAGATCCTGGTTGACATTAGTCATGTGAGTTGACTCACGCAGGGGCGGAAGTCCCGGGGGGGACAGGGGGGACATGACTCCCCCTTCAGTAAAGATGTACCCCCCTAGAATCATTTGAGACACAATTAATAATTTTTGAACAATGCAGTAGTATTTATTAAAAGCACAATGTAAGCAGTGCTCATTATAATCACACAATAATGTGCTAAATCTTAAAAGATTTAGTCCCCCCCTCCCATTCCTAGTAGTGGTATATCCCACACTCTTTCCAACAGGCGGGGCTGCTTGGCAGCAATAGCAGCATGTGGCTGGAACCGCTGTCCACATCGTACATCGCAGGGTAAGATGTACACTCACACAGACACAGTTTAACTTACACAAGTTACAACACATCCCATTTACTGTTACAACAAGCCCCAGGCCCAGGCTGATAATATAAACTGTCTGCAACATTTCTCCTGCATTGTTCAAAAGCCTACTCAATTACGAGTGTTGCTAAGCTAAAAGCTAATGATTAAGCTCAGAGTTTAATGATAGTCAGAGAGGACAGGAGAGAAAGAAGAGGGAGAGGACAGGACAAGAGCAGTCAGTGGCGGAGCGGCTCATAGCTAATGGGTATCTGTCTGTAGGCTCTCCACCTGTCAGTGAGACAAACATGAATGACGTGCAGTCTAACTGACAAGGAGCGGTCATTAAGCGTGACTATTACGCACGGTTGTGGCGGAGCGGCTCGTATGGGTACCTGTCTGTAGGCTCTCCACCTGTCAGTGAGACAAACATGAAAGACGTGCAGACGAGGAGCGGTCATTGCACGCGACTATTACGCAAGGTTGTGACGGAGCGTAGCTACTGGGGACCTGTCTGTAGGCTCTCCTCCTGTCAGTGAGACAAACATCAAAGACGTGCAGACGAGGAGCGGTCATTACACGCGATTATTATGCACGGTTGTGAGGTGCGCAGCGGCAGATCTCAGCACACTGTTTATAAACCACTTTATCAGTTTAATTGCAGGAAAATGTTTAGTTTTAGTTTTAGTTTAGTTAGTATAGACATTCACTCTGCCTGTTGGAGAGATAGAGAGAAGATTAAAGCGTCAAATTGCGGTAAAAGATGCTGTATAAAAGACAGGCTACAACTTTTTTCCTTGTCCCCCCCTGGAATTATTCTCTAAAATTTTACTGTTTATTGTCCCCCCCCAACTATGAAATGGGATTTTCGCCCCTGAACTCACATGACTAAAAAGGGGTCGGCAATGAGTTTTTGACAAGGTCACCAGGAACCTTGCTTCCAATTTTTCCCAGTGGCCACTCACAGTATTGCAGCAAAAATTTCCCCAGCAGCTCAAGAACCAATTTTCCTATATACCAAAATGATGAAAGAGACATCTGTAAAATCATGTAAAATTATGAATTTTTGATACTGTTAGTTTGTAAAACTTTCCTCGAGCTGAGAAGAGGGATTTCAAAATTTGTGGCATCATCCCAATGTTAAGTCTGTGGGCTAAGTTGGAACTTGCTGCCGGGTTAGGGTTTGTATCTAGCTCTCAATACATTCATGGTAGGCTTGGACGGTATTATCTACTGTAAACACTGTAGCCTGTTAAAGTGCATTTCCCTAAAGTGCCCCCATAAAATATAAAAACAATTAATAGTATGTAACAACCACCATACTGTTGCAACCAAGTCCTCCGCGT